CGTTGAACTGTGGTGAAGTTGTCCCGAGTTGATGGAAGTTGAAAGTCAAACGCCGAGCTCTTTGTGTGTCTTCTTACATTCAGGTTTTGGGTATTTATTAATTTTACTTCTTTTTAGATAGATAGATAGATGGATAGATAGATGGACAGATAGAGAGAGAGATAGATAGATAGATAGATAGATAGATAGATAGATAGATAGATAGATAGATAGATAGGTAGAGGGAGAGATATATATAGATAGATAGATACGACTACAGAAAAAGAGAAGATGCATGTCGCCAGTGAGGCTCGCCATCCTGGCTGTTGTGGAATAACTGCTGTATATACACCCGTTCAGGTACATATTGGGGGGTACAAAAAGAATACGATTTTGAGGAGCATTTATGCAAAGCTAATAAAAGAAGAAGAAAACAGTGAACGCTGTCCTTGTGAGACTAAAATAATCTTTTAATGACTAATATTCCCTCTCCCGCTCGGCTGGATTTTGAGAATAATGTGCAGATTTCCCCCGATCAACATACTAGTCAACACAGAGCAAAGACTTTATAAGTTACAACACGTTTTCGGGTAACGAACCGCGGTTGCTAACGCTTTGGGGTTTTCATAAACAGCTTTGTTTTGTTCAGTTTGGCACAAATGTATTGTAATTTCGTGGGAACATCCAATGTAAGTGAATGCTCGCAGAGGGGGGTTGTAAAGTCTTAAGTGTGCTGTGAAAGAGAGTTATGGTAAACGATGCGGACCTCCTTACTGAGTCAGTATTCCCAGCACATTATTAACATGACAAAGAGTAATTTTTGTCGGCTAAGATCATCGAAAATTCCGATTTTCTAAAACTTAGCAACTGTTTCCTGCATAATATTATGATGGTCTATTGCAGAAATGCAAAGGAATTATGAAGACGTAAGTAATATCCTATTTATTTCTCAATGCAATGGACAACGTTTTATCTCAACGGAAACAGACGGAAAGAGGAAGGAAAGGGGAGAGCGAAAGAGTTTGGTGAAATCAAGCAGATCACTGGGTCTCGGAAAGTGTTTACCACAACTGCAAAGTGTTAATCATAATATCGTATTATCATCATTCTACCTCCGTTGCCTTGGTGCTTGTTTAAAGTTGCGTGCATTTTTTTTATTACTACCACTACCACATGTCTGTCTCGAGCATTGCACTCTCACATTTTAAGGAATATGAAAAACAACCAAAATATTTCTTACACAAAGAAAAGACTCTTTTTGGAGTAATACAGGAAGGGCATAATATTATTTTTTTAAAGACGTGAACTCACCCTGACAGCTAAGACGTATTTACGAATCTGATACGATAGTTGAGGTAGGCTTTTGTCGAAATACACGCCTCCTGTGTGAACTAATTGTGTAAAAGACTGACCTGATGTTGATAAATAGATACAATTTTACTAGAAAAGAATAAGATAACTCCTATGAAGACCATTTTCTGGGATTTAACTCTAAGAACATAAGAATGCGTTTTTCTTGAGAAAACAACATCTCGCCAATCGAATTTTTTTTCATGTTTAGCTGTTAATGCAAAATGCATATATTTGTACTTTTTCACTTGAACGTCTCATTTCATTTCTGTACTCCAATTTTTAACAGTGTTGATAGGGGAGTTAAACATATACTATTTCACCATTTACCATGTCCAATTTCAATTAAGTTTCAATTATGCTTAATCCATACATTGTCTCACTAATTTTTATTGCAGTCTCACTATAATATATACTTTGGTATTGTCCATCCTTTAACTTTCTTCACTAAAGATCCTGATTATTTTTTCATTGTCAATCTTTGAACTTCCTTCACTGAAGATCCTGATTAATTTTTAAAATGAAAAGCGAAGGTTTTTATTAACTTTCATGGCCCGCTATGTAACGTTATACCAAGCATTCAGAGATCTCTTCAGAAATATAGAGTTACTTTAGACAATTACAGATACCTTGACAGCGCTCTGAGAATACCCAACTCTCAATTAGTAATTGTTTCTATTGTTTTGTTTTTGTTTTTCGTTGGTTTCTTGTTCATTTTTTTTTTTATTTATGAAACTTTGTTGCCTTGATATTCGACTAATCAATAGGTTTGTTATCGTACGGGAGTCATTTTATTGCTTTCCACTTTACATCAAGAGGGTTTGCTTCTGTATCAAATTTCCTTATTAGCATAGCAATGTTTCATAGCATGCACAGCTCTGAATGTGCTGAATTGTCGAAAGCGACCTTAGTTTCTATTGCAGCTGCAGGTATGTGGGTCTATGACTTGTGTGTATATATATATATATATATATAATGCTTTGTTGATAGGTGGGACTTGACCGATAAGTGTCATTTTTGTATCCCTTGCCGAGAAAGTTAGGTGAGTGCAAATTTGTATATTATCTGTCAATGGGGTAACGATATAAAGGTGTATACGTATGTACTACGTAAGAGAACAGCCCTGTTAGGCATTCTACCTTAATTTTTTTTTCTTTACTCTCTCAGCTATGGTTCTTTTGCAATCTTGCTCGTTTTAAACTTGGATCACCCTATTATTTAGGACATTTTTAACCCAACTAACCATTTCCATTGTGCAGGCTGTAATAATAATATGTAGCCCTGGCAAGCCAACTCCCCGACTAAGCTTATTCAGGCTTCATGCAGCCCTATCAAACATTCCTCCTAAAAGCGAAAGCGGGCTTCTCTAGCTGACCTAACCTAACTAAACATTCTTCCCTTCTGAACCCCGAAAGCAGAGAGATTGCAAATCTGTGCCTGTATTTGGGATCTCATCTAGATTTGTTCTACCTTGTCTTAGCCTCTTAGCGTCACAGTCACAGAGTAGAATCTAGGCCAACTGGACGCCGAATGCGACGAAGTGAGTGGGGCGAGTCTCAACACATCACGTGGAATCTAGATACAACGCTATGTATTTTACAGAAATTCAGGAAAGTTCTATTTCCCAGAAAGTAAAATATTGTAGTCTTTTATTTCAACAGTGGTATATTGTTAATTTCGTACCATTTTGAATTCGCGAATATCTTTGAAAATCTCGAATTCAAGTCACGCGAGAGAAAAATAAACAAACTCAAAACGAAGGGGAAAAAAATAAAGTTTACAATGATAGGTAGTTCTAGACCGACTGATATTTTCCTTTCAACAAACAGACTTTGCGCCTTGTTAAAAGTGAACTAGATCTATAAGCGTAAACCTAATGTTTTTCCGTGTTTTGATCACTTTCTACATTGTCTTTCCCCTTTTCTTTTCTTTCAGTTAATTACACTGGTCAAAATTGTGTCTACTTTGTGTCGTCTAGTACGATGGTTTTAAAACCGAAAACCCCTTTTTTTTTTTTTTTTTATTGTTTCGCTTTAGTTTCGGTTTTTATGGTCTAGATCGGTCACATTTGGCCATTTTGTGTTTTGATAAGCTGTTATATTCTTTAAACTGTACATCCCCACAGATCAACTCAAGAAGCTAACAAATAAAGTCAAACTTCCACACAAACCTTATTAAGAATTTAAAATTGCTGATAAAATAATAAACATTAGCACCTCATATGAGTCGCATCGTATAGATAAAAAATTACGTTTGCTGCTTCTATGATCTGGCGTGAACAAATGGCTCTCACGACTGTTACTTTTGCATGATGAAATTAGCTTCTCAAAGACAAAGAAAAGCAAGTCAAATAGTTTATACCCCAGTTCTTCAACAGCGTTGAACGCAGCGCTCAGTGACGCAGAGAACCCAGCACTTCTCCTAAATACAGATATTTTTAAGAAAGTAAAAGTAGGCCTACTGATGATACAATTAATGTTTCTACAGGGCAGCGGATGCATATGAATGTCCTCTGCGCGGGGAAATAAGATAGAGAAGCAAGACCTACGATTTTTGTAAGTGCTAACATCTCATGCCCCCCCCCCCCCCCCCCAGCTATCTGGTTAATAATAATAATAATAATAATAATAATGATAATGATTATAATAATAATAATAATAATAATAATAATAATAATATAATAATAATAATAATAATAATAATAACAATAATGATAATAATAATAGGGAAAAAAATAATACATTGTATGATAATAATAATGATAATAATAATACAATAATACATTGTGTAATAATAATAATAATAATAATAATAATAATAATAATAATAATAATAATAATAATAATAATAATAATAATAATAATAATAATAATAATAATGATAATAATAATAATAATAATAATAATAGATTGAAGGGTGTATTTTTGAGGAACCTGAAATTCGCCGTGAGTTGGGTGATGTTGAGTGACAAATCCATTCCATTTGAAGCTGTATCGTGGGCCGCGCTCTGTTTTCTTGTTTAAAAGTTATTCTTGGAAATCACAAAGTTGACATATGATCTGGGGAATAATTATTGAAAACATACTTTCAGTGGGGCGCTCGAATATACTTTCTCCTCTCATATCTTGACTTTTGCCCTTCCAATCTTGGAGAGATTAGTGACGAGAAATATTAAAGTTTTTATCAAGATAAGAAAAGGAATTTTGATCAAAATTACTTGATATCAAGGCAAGCTGATCTTGAACATAATGGGAATTAATCTTGATTTCCTCAACGCGCAACGGACAAAGTGCAAGAGCCACCGGCAATTCTTACTCATTCAAGTGATATTGTTCACTTGTACGTTTTTAAACTTACTGAGATTTTTCAAACCTATGGATCTTTTGTCGCTCTTTCTCACTTGAAATAAATGTCAGAATAGTATTTAAATGTAACTGTGCACTAATGTTTTTATCCCTCGTATATTTTTTTTTTAAGTTTGTGTTTATAAATAAGGAAAACTGAGTAGGGCCTACGGTCTGAATACCACCAAAACCTGAGGTCCTAACTTAAATATGACTGCAGATCTAAAATCAGCGACTCAAAACTACTTAAGAACACACAATGAAGTGAGATATAAGAAAATAAGTAGACATTTGTTTACCAGAGTTTTTTGGGGTTCTTTTTTCTATTCTTGCCTACACGTCGTTTGATTATCGTTTTGGATTCAAGTGTGTCTATTTAGAACTCAGATAAAAGCTCCAACTTAGTGTCTTTTAGCCATATTCACATAAGTACAGTGTTTGTCTTTCTTCCCTTGTGCAACATCGAGTATTTTTTAGACACAGCTACCCAAAAAAGGCTCCTCGTTCATAGTCCCAGAATTGTTCAAGCTGAAAAAAAATGTCACTTACATGACCAAAATTGAATTGATAGTGCCGTAAAACACCTACTCAATCAATCAATCAAGCTGAAAAAAGCTGGCGATTAGACGATAAATAATCTTTTCCTGGTATTACTGTTTATAGCGTTTTGCCTGAGCGTCTGACGTATCAGGTCGAATCTGTAGAAATATGGCCTGCTCAAAGCTGAGAATTTGTCATTAAAAAATGAAAATATTAGAAAAATAAAACCTAGAACCAAAGAACTGAATGTGATGACACATTGGAACAAAATTTTATACAGTGTACATTATAAATATTGTAAACATAATATTACTATGTTTTGCTCCGAATTTAAAAAAGAAATTCGCCTGCTCATTAGCATATTGTACTGTTCAACACAGACGTAATGTTTAAACAATTTTACTATTCTAGTACTTTCGGTCCGCAGAGAAATCATGGAAGATTGGAGCACAGCACGGGCCTTCTGGGCGGAGACTGCAGAGCGCTACTTCGTGGACGATGAGACCTTAGCTGCCACACAGGAAGCTCTGGACATGGGCTTGATGCCCCTGAGTAGCCTGAGCGTGCCCGATGGTCGGAAGATGCTGGAGAAACTGTACTCCCACAAGCACAGGGTCGCCTTTGATGGCAAAATTGAAGATCAACAAGTACCGTCTAGCGTAACGAAAGGTTACAACATTCCGGTAACTGTATACAAACCAAGTTCAAGCTCAGCCGTTAGTACGATAGTCCTCTACTTCCACGGTGGGGGTCTTATCTATGGAGATAACAAGAAAATGTACGAGAACTCTCTGAAAACCATTGCAAAAGGGTCTGCAGCTGTTATTATTTACGTAGAGTATCGCTTGTTGCCTGAATGCGCCGACACGGACCCGATGGCTCCTTTTAATGATGCTGTTGACGTGACGAACTGGGCTCTCCAAAACAAGACTTCACTTGGAGGACAGGCCAAAACGAAAGTTGGCGTTCTAGGAGACAGTGCCGGAGGGCTAATATCCCTGTACGTCTCTGATATTATCAAAGACGTACGCTTTCAAGCTTTGGTGTACTCGTGGATCAACTTCGACCAAACCGAGGATCAATCTTGCCAGGAGTTTGCAAGTGTGCCAGCCTTCAACACGAAAGCGATGCAACACATCATAAAAATTGTGAACCCATTGTTATCTTTTCCTGGAAACAACCCCCGTTTGAATCCTGCTATAAGAGAAAATGTCGCGTCATCGCCCCCTACTCTGGTTGTGGTGGGACAGTTAGATCCATTGAGAGATAGCAATGTAGACTATGCTGGAAAACTGAAGAAAAGCGGTGTTGACACCAGATTGGTACTAATGGAAGGTTTACCGCATGGCTTCTTTTCAGCAGCTAATTTCGTTAAGGCCAACGTTACAGCATGCACACATATCGTGAGGTTCATTAAATCTATCAACTGAGTAATTTAAATATATAACCCTTCCTTTAGTGCATTGCTCTAAAAATGCCTTATTCTGAAAATAATCGGAAACAAGACGCAACCCTGCTTTTTATCTTTTTCTTTTTTTTTAACTTTTACCATCTTTATCAGGAGAAATGTCTCAGGAACGTTAACAACTTTTGTGAACTCAAGTTCCTTTTAACCTGCCAAAAGAAAAAGAAAAAGAAGATGAAAAGAAAAATGAAAAGAAAAAGCAAGCCGGGAGCCGATTAAAAAAATATGCTGTGGTATTATGTTTATATTTCGTTTTGATTTTGTCTTTTTATAACATTGTCTTGAACATTCTCTCAACAATATGCTTAGGCTTCATCCTGGGGGAAAGCTTTCGTACTTTAAAACTTCCATACTCCCTTCCAGTAAAGTCGCATCTTTCTTAATCCAACTTTTTTTTCTGTGACACAGTGACTTGTGCGTATAATATTCTTTAAAAGCTATGTTTTACCTCAAAACGAATGTAAAACTTTATTTTGATGTTTGCTTTTTTC